GAACAATTCTCAAGTTACGATACCAGTCCAAGAAGTTCGTCCCGGTCAACTTATCCTTCTCAAGGATTGATCGCATCGTCAAACTCGGTACGCTACCGGTTGACGCCATGTCCTACAAAAGAAACAAAAACAGAACGAACAAAACAAATGCAAATTATATCAATGATCTACGACCAACTAGTCCATTATCAATCAATGACAACATAGATGCACATACAAGCAATATTCCCATATAGAAAAATAACCCTATAATAATTTTCTATATAGGACTAAGATCCGTATTTCACATAAGAACAGGTTTTTACACTCAGCCTTATGTTATTTAGGTAGACATCTAATGTCAATCACATCCAATGTGATTCTTAGATCTTTCATGAGACTATGATATCGAATATCATTGCATACTCGTCTCATCTGTACCATCAAGTCTCAAGTCAAACTTGACAACTTAACCTAAGGTAAACCATGTTCAAGCTGTGGAAACCACGATTTCCCATCCTGCCTCACAAAGATAATCCGGCACGCTCAGATTTGGCATGACCCGTGTTACGGACGATCGATGCCTTGACAGGTGCTCTAGTAATGGAAGGTACGCGCTTAACATTACATAAATAAGGGATTTTCGAAACCACACTTAGATCAAGCATCTACTTTTCAAGCTATGAGAACCACCATTTCTCTATCTTGCCTCACCAAGATAATACGGCACACCCAGCTTTGGCATGACCCATGACACGTATGATCGAGGCCTTGACAAGTGCTTTACTCGTAGAGCTCCTAGATCTAACCGGTTTCTGTGCAACGATTGTACATAATCCGAGTAGACTATCCATTCGATTATGTAATCCCAATCCCTAAGCTCCCACTCAATCAAGTATATCTAATATCTTAATTAAGTTATATGCATTCATTCACTATGGATCATCCAAATGAACGAATCATGCTATTCTGAATCACAGTTGACCGGTTTAGCAACGATTGCTCAAATCAAATCCCGAAACGAAAAACCAAATTTTGGTGAAGCCTCGGGACCCAGACCGATCGGTCTAGGCTTAGATCGATCGGTCTACATGGCTCGGTCTCCAGGTCAAGTTCGGTCCAGACCTTTCGGTCCGAAATGGTCCAGACCGATCGTTCTACACATGCAGACCATTCAGTATGGACCTGTCGGTCCAACCGACATGTGAAACCCGAGACCGATCAGTCTAGAGGACCAGACCGATCGGTCCAAGCGAAAACGTGATCAGATCTCATTTTTGTCGTTTCTGCCCCGTTTTAGACCCGAATTCGACTCCGTTTTCGCCTGCGAACTCATAATTCGAAGCTCAACAATGAATAGAAAATCTACTCTAGATCCACAATCAAATCATGCATAACATCAAAGCAAACACGGATTCAAACAATTCAAATCCTATAACGTGCGTGATCGGGTTCTAACAAAATTATGCAGAGCAACCAGGCTCTGATACCACTGTTGGGGTTTCCTGGGATCTCATGAGCGAGTCTAATTCCTAAGAGATCAGTTCTAGGTGATTTAGAACAGGCCCCAGATCAAAATAAACTTCAAGTTTTATCGAGAACGAGGTAAGTAGCGATTCCCTCGATGATATACACGATCTTTTGGGTTTTTGCAAGTTTGGTTGCGTGTGACGTTTGATTAGGTTTAGATCTTTCTTTTGCTGCGTGAAACCTAGTGAACCAAACCCTAGATCAATATGATCGCATGTTAGGAACCCGTAGATTCCCCAACAATGGAAAGGTATTGTAATCTTCATCTTCTTCAGCATTTCCGCAAACTTCCCAAATTGGCTATCCTCATTAAACTTTTTTAAACGAGAAGGAAAAGGTATCGGGGGTACCTTAGGCGGAGGCGGAATGTAGGCCGGTTCTTTCTCTAGTTCTTGCTCCTTAGGAGTACCTTCCTCCACAGCCTTGCCCTTTTCCTCTCTTGTTAGTCTTGGAGGTGGCATCTTTTCAATCATCGGAGGGGAAAGTTGTTTTCCACTCCTTAACTCCACTGCATTCATGTGTTCGCGAGGGTCCATTTCGTTCTTACTGGGAAGCATGTCCTGCGGTCTTGATGAGGAAAAAGATGCAAGTTGAGCTACTTGATTGTCCAAGATTTTCAAATGAGTTTGGACTCCTTCCAATTGTTTCTTGATGCAACTTGCTTGTTTTCAATGCTCCCAATAGACACTCCTTGCGACTTTTGACCTTGGAGAATCTGCAATAGCATATCTTTGATATCCAGTCTTGCTCCTTGGATTGCGATTGCTGCGATCTTTAGTTGGAGTTCCCTTGATACCCTTGACTTCCTTGACCTTGTTGTTGATACTTCGGTTGGAAACCCGGAGGTCCTTGCTTGTTCCATTGGAAGTTGGGTTGAGGATTTAGCGCATTCGCCGTGTTCTTGTACGAGAAGTTGGGGTGATTCCTCAATCCCGGGTTGTATAGGTTGGACGGATGGGTGTATTGATTAGGACCACATAGTTGGCGTCTTCCGTCTCTTGTTCAACCATGTACATTCCCGGTTGAATTTGTGCTAAATTGTGATCTTCCACAGCAGCTACTTGTTTGGCATTAGCGAGTTGTACCTTTATCTCGGCAAGGTCGGCCAACACGGCTTTAAGAGCTGCGTTCTCTCCCACATCACCTTTCACTGAGCTTCTCCTACTGAACTCGTTGGACGTATGGCTGTGTCCTTTGACCAGTTTTGCAATTGCCGCTTCCAACTCTTGGAAAGGGATGTCATAAATATCACCTCCACATGCTGCATCAATCCAAGACCGAGTGTCATCCTTCAACCCATGGATAAAGATGGATAAGAGGTAGTCTCTCTCCATTCCATTGTGAGGGCACATCCTTTGATACTCCTTGAAGCGTTCCCATGCATCGTGGAGGTTCTCCCCATCCTCTTGCACAAAAGCATTGATCCTATTTCTCGCATGTTGAGTCTTGGTGGGGGAGTAGTATTACATAAGAAATTGTTCTTCCATCTCATCCCATGACGAGATAGAGTTTGGCTCAAGGGTGTAGAGCCAATCTCTAGCTCTCTCTGTAAGCGAATATGAGAAGGTTTCAGGAAACACATCTTCAAGAGTAATCCCCGGTCCCTTCTTGATTGCCTTACAAGTCATCTTGAAGTTTGTAAGGTGAGCATTCGGGTCCTCGTTTGGTCTCCCACGGAAACTCATGTTGTTGAGCATTTGAATGCATTCCGGTAGGAGTTCAAAATCTTCTAGTGGTCCCCGATTAATGCATGATAGTAGCTGAGTATGCTTCGGTTGTGTGTACGTTCGAAGCGTTCTAGGGGGTGCTTGGGCTGGACCCCTTTGAGAATTGGCCCCTCTCAACAATTCTTCGGCCATTTCGGGTTGTTCTCTTCGTGCGTTGTTTTCTCTCAACATTTCTTCGACCATTCCCCACTGTCTTTGCTGTCTCCTAGCGAAGCATAGAGTCATTTCTATCTCGGGGTCGAAGATGAGTTGATCTCTACCGGTAGTGCTTCTTGTCATGCACCAGAAGAGCTGCGCACCAAAGAAACAAAACAAAACGAAAGTGATGCAAAAAGGTTATGTCTCAAAGTAATCCAAACAAGAGTCCAAGCAATGGTGATCTAGCAAAAATCTAGACTAACACGAAAACGCCTAATCCCCGGCAACGACGCCAAAAACTTGATGCGCACGCACCGAGTCTTATATTTAGTACCTGATTCGTACCACTATCCGCAAGTATACGGTAGTTGTAGTAACGGGGTCTAACACGAGGACTAGGTTGTATTAGTCTATCTCTAGGCTAGATTAATGGTCAAATAAGAGTGTGGTTTGTGATGGGTATCGCAATGGAAGTAAACAAGTAAAATTAACGGGTTGTAAACGTGATTTGAGGCGTTGTAGGTTCGGGATCCCTCTCGAATTGTATGGACGGTTAATGATACTACAATGTCTACAGGTTTATCTTCCAAAAAGGGGTTTCAAGCACTTCTTCTAGAGTTTGTCTCTCCCGAGCTTAAACTCACTACCTAGAGAATCGATTAATCCATCTCCCAATGATCTAAATGATCTCTAGATGCATTAATGTACCCTATCATGAACCTTAAGCAAGCTAAGCCATCTCCCAATGTGAATAACTCACTCATTTGACATTTGGTTCCAAACATCATTCCCATATCCCTATGATCAATGTGTTCTACAGTCATATCAATTAGGGTTTCATCTAAATCAATAGCATTAAACACAAAACATCAAACCCATGGAAGAAAACTCAAAGACATCATAGATTAAGCTTAGGTGTCAATATAAAAGTGAGGATCCCTCACCCACAACAAGGTCACTACTCCATAACTAAAGGTCCAAAACAGAAAGCAAAAAGAGAAAACATAGAAAAGGAGAAGAAATACTCAAGATGGTCTTCAATGGTGATCTCCTCCTTCAAGATATCTCCCTAGGTCTCCAAATCTCCATTCTTCTCTTCTCCAAAAGTGATTTTCTTCCCTAATGTCGAGCCCCCTCTCTCTCTCCTCCAACTCCCCTTTTGTGTAAGTCCCCAAAACTAGGTTTTTCCTCCAAAAATCTGGCTTTTCCTTTTTGGGCCGGTTTTGATTACGAGCGGTCGCTCATTTTCTCTTCAGGGTCGCCCGTTTTCTTCTTCAGGGTCGCTCGTTTTTTGGTATCGAGCGACCGTCTAGCATAACGAGCGGCCGCTCGTTCTTCACTATGCATCGGAGCGACCGCTTGGTTGTGCGAGTGACCGCCTGGCTCCAACATTTCCACACCGAGCGACTGCTCGGTTAACTAGGCGCCGCTCATTTTGTCTTTCTCCCGGACTTCTCGATTCTGCTCCTTTTCCGTGCCTCGTGCGCAAATATCCTCGTTTGATCATCCTGCAAGGAAAATTGGAGAAAGAATCCTACCCATAACCGTCTAACGTCCTAATATGCCTAAAATGCGAGAAGAATCATAATGTATGACGTTAGAAAAACCGGTGGAAAACCCGTATGATCAACTCGCATCACACATAAGCTCAAAGGGAGCTTCCCAATCCGGCGGCTGGATAATAGGCGGAGAAATCAACGCCTTCTTCAAAATTTCAAAGGCAGCCTTGCACTCATGGGTGGACTCAAAAGGCACATCCTTTGCAACCCATTCCGTCAAAGGCCATGAAATCTTGGAGAAATCCTTGATGAACCTCCTGTAGAACCCGACATGTCCCCAGAATCTCCGGATTCCCTTAACATTCCGTGGAGGCGGCAACTTCTCTATCACCTCAACCTTAGCCCGATCAACCTCAATCCCCTTGCTCGAAATCTTGTGGCCTAATACAATACCCTCTTGGACCATGATGTTGGGTTTATCTACGGGTTCCTAGCATGCGATCATATCGATCTAGGGTTTGGTTTACTAGGTTTCATGAAGCGGAAGAAAGATCTAAACCTAGTCAAATGTCACATGCAACCAAACTTACAAAACCCGAAAGATCATGTATATCACCGAGGGAATCGTTACTTACCTCGTTCTCGATGAAACTTGAAGTTTATTTCGATACGGGGCCTGTTCTAAATCACCTAGGACTGAAGTTACAGTCCCTCTACATGTATCCACACCGACGGGAAGGATTCCAAACGATTTGGAACGAATCTGCTAGGATTAGTGAAGAAAAGGGTAACTCAAGAGACGAGATCCAATCCCGGAACAATAGAAATCGAAGAGAACAGGTTCTCTAGGGTTCTAGGATGTTTCTCTGAGTTTTAGGTCGGCCTGAATTAAGTTTGGACGAAAAACCAAACTTAAATAAGCTTAGAAAACCCTAAAATCAAATTATGGAAATTTTCCAGATCTCGGTCCGCCGGACCAAGAGCTTGGTCCGGCGGACCAGGCTTACTCAGCTGCCTTCGGACCGTCTGACCTGGTGCCTTGGTCCGGGTGACCAAGATTGGTCAGCTCCGGACCAAGTCTCCTGGTCTTCTTTCGGTCTGCCTGTTCGCTCCTCGGTCTGTCTGATCCAGCGTCTGGTCCGGGGCTGACCAACTCTTGGTCAGCCGGACCAGACCTGGACAGATGACCTCAGACTGAGCTTCCGGACTGCCTGATCTGACCAACTTGGTCCGGGGCTGACCAAACTTGGTCAGCTCCGGACCAACACACTGAAAACTTCTTTTCATGCTCGTTTTGGTCAAATCTCATTTCCATTCTTCGGATTCTTCACGTATAAGTCCATCCCTATTGGTGTGTGACCCTGTAGGTCCATTCTAAGTGGTAGTGACTTTAGGAACCTTTCTCGAACCACAAGTCATGGTTAGCCTCTAACAAGACGCCATGACCACCCACTTAGAATTGAGTTAGAGGTGATCTAACCAAGGCATCAACAGTTCGAATTCTGATCCTTTGTCTCACGATATCATAAGTTGAACAAGGGCATGGTTTGAGCCACCCTTCAAGTTCAACCGCTTTCTCGTCTTGGTAAATCGACTAGTAAAATAGATGCAACTTCATCTATAGCGTG